AAGAAAATGTTACAATGGGGGGAAATTGACAACACACGCGCCATAGATATTTTTAGTCTGTGCTCTAAGGATGTACATCTTGGTTTCTGTTTAGACTGAGCACCAGGGGGTGAATTTGGATTGATTTGACAAGACTGGCTGTTGGAAAGTCCTTACTGAGCACCTTCTCTGTGCCCAGCTTAAGCAAGGGACTGTGGGGGGGTAACTAAGGGAGGTGAAGTAACTTTCCCAAACTTTCAAACACTGGGGAGAGTGCTATAATCTTTTTCTTGGGTGGGGGGCAGTGTGCCGATATCAGTAAAAACTCTCTTGACTATTCCTTACACCAGCAATTCTGCAATAAATTATCCTTCTAATGTACAATGTGGTGACTGTAGTGGATGATACTGTATTGTATACTTGAAATTTGCTAATAAGAGAGTAGATCTGAAGTGTTCTAGCCACACACACGCACACAACACACACACACACACACACACACACAAAAGGTAGTAATGTGAGGTGATGGGTGTGGTAATCTGTGCTATCATACATTTTTATACATGTATGAAATCATCATGGTGTACACTTAAAATACTATAATTTTGTTTGTCAATTATAACATAATAAAGGTGGAAAAAATAATTTATCTTATGAATATATTCTTAAATGTAAGCCATTGTAGCTCTGTTTGTAATAGCAAAAACAATCCAAACACTGGAAATCTAAATGCTCACCAATAATTTTTATTTTTTAAGATTTATTTATTTATTATTTATTTATGGCTGCATTGGGTCTTAGCTGCGGTACGCGCGATCTTTATTGAGGTGTGCAGGATCTTTTGTTGCAGCCTGCAGGCTCTTCATTGTGGTGCTCGGGCTTCTCTCTAGTTATGGCGTGCAGGCTCCAGGGGGCATGGGCTCTGTAGTTTGCGGCACGCAGGCTCTCTAGTTGAGCTGCCCGGGCTCAGTTGCCCCGTGGCATGTGGGATCTTAGTTCCCCGGCCAGGGGTCGAACCCATGTCCCCTGCATTGAAAGGTGGATTCTTTACCACTGGACCACCTGGGAAGTTGCTATACTTGGGTGTTTTTTTTGTTGTTGTTGTTGTTTAACATCTTTATTGGAGTATAACTGCTTTACAATGGTGTGTGAGTTTATGCTTTATAACAAAGTGAATCAGTTATACATATATCCCCATATCTCTTCCCTCTTGCGTCTCCCTCCCTCCCACCCTCCCTATCCCACCCCCCTAGATGGTCACAAAGCACCGAGCTGATCTCCCTGTGCTATGCGGCTGCTTCCCACTAGCTATCTATTTTACATTTGGTAGTGTATATATGTCCATGCCACTCTGTCACTTTGTCCCATCTTACCCTTCCCCATCCCCGTATCCTCAAGTCCATTCTCTAGTAGGTCTGCGTCTTTATTCCCATCTTGCCCCTAGGTTCTTCATGACCTTTTTTTGTTTGTTTTTTAGATTCCATATATATGTGTTAGCATATGGTATTTGTTTTTCTCTTTCTGACTTACTTCACTCTGTATGACAGACTCTAGGTCCGTCCACCTCACTACAAATAACTCAATTTCATTTCTTTTTATGGCTGAGTAATATTCCATTGTATATATGTGCCACATCTTCTTTATCCATTCATCTGTTGATGGACACTTAGGTTGCTTCCATGTCCTGGCTATTGTAAATAGAGCTGCAATGAACATTGTGGTGCATGACTTTTTTTGAATTATGGTTTTCTCAGGGTATATGCCCAGTAGTGGGATTGCTGGGTCTTATGGTAGTTCTATTTTTAGTTTTTTAAGGAACCTCCATGTCACCAGTAAATATTGGTTAAATTACTGTATGACCTTCAAATGGAATTTCATGCAACTATTACAAAGAAAGAGGTCCATCAGTATGTGTTGAAAGCATATCACTAAGATGTATTTTTTAATTGAAGTAGAGCTGACTTACAATATTAGTTTCATGCATACAACATAGTAATTCAGTATTTTCATAGGTTATATTCTATACAAAGTTATTATAAAGTAGTAAATGGAAAGATATCCCGTGTTCATGGATTGGGAAGAATTAATATTTTAAAATGTCTACACTACCCAAAGGACTGGTATATTTTTAAGTGCAATAAAAAATTAAGGTTCAAAAAAGAAGGGTTTATATAGCATGATGCCATATGTATGTTTGAAACATATATGTATGCAGATATATGCACACAATTTCCCCACACTGGAAGGATATGCTTGCAACTGATAATGGGGAGTATGTGTGATGAAAGAGAAATGGGAAAGGAAAAATGTGTTTTTCATCTTATCCATCTTATTCTTTTGAAGATAGATAGATATATTGGTTTAACCATGTGACATACTTTTTTTTTTTTTTTTAAGCCACTTGCTTGCGGTCACACAACCAAAAAAGTGTACAGCTAGGATTCCCACGCAGACTGTGATTCCAGAACCCTGTGATCCAGAACAGCTCTGAATTCTAGCACACTGCTTCCTAACAGTGCTCTCTTAGGATCAGCAAGTAATTCTGTCACTTGCTTGTAAGTTACAAAATTTTTCATGAAAATACCTGGGAGAATGTGCTCATTCTCCAGAAGAAGACTCTGCTCCATCGCCTGCCACGTTGGCTCCTTTTCTATAAGACTGTGGCTCAGCCAAGAGAGGTCCATCACCCAGAGCCAGATAACACAAACTAAGATTTCCAAGAGGACAGATTACCTTAAGGAAAAGGCATTAAGATAATTGGAGGGTTGGGGTGGGCGCAAGGCCTGAAAACAGTATCACTGGCCAACTTGGTCAATGAGCAGGTGCAGAAAGTGGCAGATAAATGCAGACAGAATCTATATTTATACTTCAATATCAGTGTTCACAACCCACAATATAAATGAGTGAATTAAAAACCTTGGCAGCGCCTAAGTACCTAGACATAAACTCTTAGTTCTAAGCTTAACTCCTATGAACTTCTCTGTGATTTGAGCATATTACTTAGCTGCTCTGGGTTTCTTTCCCCATTGGTTAAATGGACAGCACTGTCTGTCCTGGCTGCTTCACAGAGTTGTAAGGAACAAATAAGGCAAGAATGTGCTTTGAAAATGCAAGGCATCATACAGAATGAGAGGTTATTGTTAATGCCTCTGAGACTTACCTCACAGAAGGAGAGCTATTTTGACACAGGAAGATGGGAGGAAGCATCAGAAAAGCATTGCTGGTAACAAGGTAGGCACACCTCACCAACACAGGGAAGGAACCTCTTTGATCATTTACTCCAGTTCCTTCTGTTTATAGTCGTGGACAAAGACCTACGGAGTCCTCAAGATCTGCAGAGCAGTGATAGTGCCATGCGTAGACTATTATTTAAACCCATAAATAAGATGGAACCCTAAAAGGGATGGGATGTGCTACAGGCCGCTTGCCCAAGGGGCTTGCTGAGCTGTGAACATTGAACAGGGCTCTGGAAGCAAGCTGATGAAGCTTAGTAAGGAATTGGGGCAGAGGTAGGGGGATGGACTTCAGTGATCCAGCTCCAGGATGGCTGAATGCCTCTGAGGAGCAATTTGAGGGTAGCCAGGGACTTGGATAGGACAAATGACAACTTCCTAGAACAGACTGTTCCAGAACCAGATCGGAAAGGAAATAGCCTGGCCTTGTCCTGGGTAGTTCACAGGAACCGGTGTAGGGAGTATTTGTAGTGGAACTAGTGCTCACAACATCAAGTCCCTTTTGCACAGAAGAGAGAGAATGGGAAAAGACGCATACAATGCAGCATACATGACAAGTCAGTTTTTGTAATGGTGGGAATGAGGATGGTGAGAATGAATAAGCAGAGGGAGACAGTGCTGTGCAGCACCAACGACTCTGGACTCAGACTTGGGTGTGGATATTGGTTCTGTCACTAACTTGCCATATGACCTTGAATGTGCCATTTTTATCCCCTGAGTCTTGGTTTCCTCATCTCGAAAATGAATGCCTTTCTCCCTATCTCATAAGTTGTTATGAGGACTAAATGAAATGTTCCTGAAAGAAATTAGCACATAATTCCTAGAACATGATGCCCAATAAATGTTCGTGTATCTCTTTGTTTTGGAGAGGGACTTTTAGAAAACCTCCAGTGAAACATACTAATTTGAAATTTCAAGCACTGGGAAAGCAAGCCCAACGTAGGTAGCATGTGGAAGGGCCCTTTTTACAGGTGGAGAACCAGCCTATAAAGGCAGATAAGAAACTCTTATGAGAGGAAGGGGAGGTGAAAAGCAAAGTAGCAATGGCTATAAATATAAGCATAAACAGTCCTCTTACCAGCAGCTGTAATGTGAGGTTCCTCCAGCTCCGTGACAAAACGGGAAGATAATAAGTACAGTGTATCTAGGCTTGACTCATTCCCTTGACTGCCCAGAAGCACAGGATAGGTTTTGTGTTCAATTACAGTAGCTTTCCTCAGCCTCTCCTCCTGCCCCCTGCTTTTTTTCTGATATAATTAACTCTCCTTCATTCATTGATTGTCCTTTAATCCTTGTTTTGTTGGATATATTTGCTTTTTAAATTATTGTCTCAAATCCTTTTTGGAAGTATGGGTATGAAGAGGTAAAATAATAACAGTTTCCTTAGAAACTAAAATTCCAAGGGTGGAAACCAACTAGAAAATCAGAGTGAAAGGCAGGATGGGGGAAGATAAGGAAACTATAGGGATGTATAAAATTGACCTAGTCTTTACCAGGAGTAACATTAGGGAAATTGTTACTTCTAGCCCCCTTTTGGAAAGACCTAGGATATTATCATAAAATCACAATGCCTGAGAGTGAAAGGCCTCTTGGTTTATTTTACAGAGGGGAGGCTGTGGTTTGACTGAGGCTGTCTCATGGTGATCCAATAGCAGACTGACCCAGGTCTCTTGACTCTCATTCTGGGATTCTGTCTGCCATGGGCCTCGTCTTTGTGAGAGTGAATTTCTGACCACAAACACCTGTACAGAACTAATTTGTGTGGGTTTTTTTTCCCCTTTTTTCCAGGGCCAAGTGCTTTCGGGGCAAAAAAGTCCTTGGAGATTATGATATCAGAGTGGAACAGGTAACCAGCCTGGAGCCCAGGGTTGCATCTGCATCATTGTTGGCCCCTCTTGACATTCCAGAATGAACCATTTAGTTCTGCCAAGTGGAGATCAGTGTCCGTCACTAGCTTCTAGGCTCTCCATCTCCTCCCCCAACCCTTTCCAGGACTTTTCTCTCTATGAGACATGGTCCTGAAGGCTGCATCTTTGAACTTCGCTGACTTCTCTTCATGGCTCTGGTGTCCATAGAGAGGCAAGCAGCGTGGCTCTTGGGGCCCTCTGGGTGCAGGGTTCTCAGGCTGAGGAACACTTTAGAGGAATGTCTTCCTAGGACATGGCCACACGTACATATTGCTGGTGGCATGGTCTTGCTGGGTAGGCACACGTCTGCCATTCAGTTGTGTGGCCTCCAGTGGTGCCTCCTCTGCGCGCCTGAGGCTACACTTCAAGGAGAACTTAGGAAAGCACACCTCCTGGTCTTAATGCAGTGAAGTCCTGAAAGGTCATTTTTTTATCTTCCTGTACCCTTTGCTTCATGATTAATAGAGATTAGGTCCATTCGAGTGCATAGGGGGATGTCCAGTTTAAACAATGCATGTATTTTCTATGTAATGATAGAAGTTACTCATCATTCCTTACATGGTGTGCTGTGATTTACAGAGTACTTTTCCTATCCATTGTTGCATTCAGTTCTTAAAATAACTTATTAGATAGGCAAGGTTGATAAAAAAAATTATTCCCATTTTATAGATGGGAAAAACTGTCCACCCAGAGAGAACAAGTAACTTGCCTGAACATCTTATGCAGCTAGTTGGGCCAGAGCAGAACTAAAAACCCAGTTGCCTAAACTAAAACTTAGTGTATTTATGTTGAAATTGATAAAGGGCATGTTTGCCCCAGTTTGCATTCCTG